ACACACACACACACGCAGGTTTATGCAATATAACGTGCTGGTAATAACGGTCTAATTATTGCAACTCTGTGTCTTTGCTCTTGCTTACAAATGTCGTTTTCTGAATTGACTCAGAAGTAACCAATCTGATTAGCATTCAAATCCTGTGACCGAGCTCCGCTTACAAGGATCTGACAACACTCCGTTATAATTTCTTTTCTGGCAATTACGCACCAGCCAATGAAATGACGTGCAAGATTACCACAAAACAGAAGGATCACGAAAGGTGTTAAAACAGAACCTAGAACAGAGTGTTGTCAGATCCTTGTAAGCTAAGTGTGGACACATGATCTGTATTTCAATCAGATGGAGAAGTAGTAAATACCAACGTCGTTTGTTTGAACTGACCTGGGATCGACCTCACGTCCTTCTGTAGTACGCGAGCCAAGCACGGGAGAACGACACCACCAATGTGGTTGTATATTAAAATAAAAGGCAACGATATTGTTTTACACAAAATTCTTGTTATGTTTATGCAAGAAAGCCTGTCAGTGCCTCCTTAATATTATTTGATAGTCTTATTAGTTCTTTCTTTAACTTCTCTGCTCTAGCTTCATACATATGAGCAGAATTGACATGTTCCTGTGACATATACAGCTATTAGCAAAGTAAACAGTGGTTGGTCCGTCAGGACCTGAAGTTTTTTTCCGTAGCAAAAAAACCTTCGGATTTTATACATTACTCCTATAACCTTATGCTCACATTGTATGTCAATTCAAGGAAAAGTATGATATTATTTTGATAACCCTATTGTTTAATTATTTTTCCCCTATCACTATTTACCAGAACTATTTTTTGTAAACTCGTATAGTCAATAGATTCCTCGCGGTGAACGGGCTAACCACAAACGAGTATTTAAAGGAGATATTCATTGAACAAGTTTACCCACTGTTTGAATGAGAGCAAAATAAGGACAGAACACTTGAAGACAAGTCTTCTACCCTAATGTAACTCTTTTTTTAATAATTGGTAAGCATATAGACAAACTAAACTGGTATTCTTCAAATAATGTCATTACTATTATATTTTAACTCCCCTTTCAAAAAGTGAATTTAAAAAGAGGAGGATAGCTACATGTGTTCTGGTTAATCATTTATACTTTTTATTAATTGAGTAATACCACAAAAACTAGCCCTTTTTGGGCACTGGAGTCATGTTCATACATATATTCGTGTAGGCAGCAATGCTTCATTGGGGCTCCTTTTTTTTCTTACTGCGCTGCTATGGGGATACAGACAAAGCGGATTCAAATTGGAGTGTACCCGACGTGCTCCTAAAATCGAAAAAATAAAACGGAAAATAAAATTGTTTGGCATGAAAGTTGTCAAAAGTATTTTCTACGGTGGCATCCTCTTTGACCTGTATCCAAGAGGTAATGTATCTACGAGATTCGTTGAAATTTAACACCGTGTGTTGTGCTTTCAGTTATACGCAGGTGATGGAATTCTGCTGCTTTAGCGCTAATACACCAACCTCCCATTATAGACACTATCACGTGTTTCCACAAAAGACAGAGTCCATCTTTTGAGGAGTACATTGTTTGTTTATTTAAAGAGGAAGTTATCTTTGTCACGATTAGATCCAGTCAGTAAATATAGAATATAAAGAATAAAGTAGCTCACTACGCGGTTTTGGATTTTGCTATTTTTCAAAGTCCTTACGGTGACCTATAATTGTTGACTTTTTCTTCATTTAGTCTTTGGTGGAGAGTTGTCTCATTGGCAATCATACCACATCTTCTTATTTTTATATAGAAACCCGTGAATATCTGTGATGTTTTTTAGAGGTCAAAATCCTTAAATATTAAATGCAAGTTCTTCATAAGTTAAAGCCTGGTAAAAAAAAAATAATATGAAAATTGAAAGTAAATCAAAACCTTCATACATTTAAAACTATTTTCGGATAGTTCCTTCAATTATTTCTAGTTTTATTTTAAGGACAAATGACATCAGATTTTCTACAAGACCTTGTTTGTTCGTGTAAGGGGGAAAGCATATACAGGCAGCATGCTTAAACAAGGAGCAGCGACTCATTTCTAAAACAATAGTACGAGAAAAAGTACTCGTAAGTCATAAATGTTTCAGTATAACTTACGATCAGTTTAAGTGGTAAGATTTCTTGGTAAAAGAGTCGCAGGTGGCCTGTTGAAAGGCAAAATGTTTGTCCCTATCCAGTATACCCTCATATTCCTGTCGCAGTGAAAAATTCCCCGACTTTCATCCCAGACGTCCTTTGTTACAGGACTTACCTATTGTATTTATTGTCAATGTTTTCTCGTCCTGAACATGCACGAAATGTTTGCCACTGGATGTTAAGCAACCAACAATCAATCAATCAATCTTTCTTGCACGAATTTGTGTTTTGTCAAAATGAAGGTAATTGTAACAATGTCCAGGCCTTATCAACCGACATAGCTGTTGACACAGATGACATATCATGAACATTGTTTATTTGAAATATTTTCTAACTGAATTGAGGTGTTCCTCGATCATGTCGTATGTGAATTTTAACTTTCTATAATTTTCGACGTTTCATTTTGTATATGAAAACGGTCTTGTCTTAGTTTTTGAATTTGTCATAAGACCCGCTTGCACACATTACAATGAAAGTTAATCGTAGTTGTCACTTTAATAAATCATGCTTCTTGTATTATCTGAAAAAGTATCGTGCATTGAGACTAAGCATGGTAATTGTTTAAAAATAAACTCATTGACATATCAAGTCTTGGAAAACTGAGACGAAATTTAACCTGCAAATGTTGTTGGATTTTATCGACATCACAATGTATTTTGGATACTCTATTAATACATATTATTCTCAAATGTATGTATATCTTGCCCAGAAATGCTATTTATCGAGGTCGAATATTAAGGTCATTCTGTTGTATTAATTTATTAGGCTTTGAAATTTCCATCAAACTTGTTATCTTCGAAATAGTGAAATTATATGTTATTCTGACGTCATGTGCAAATGTGAAACACATCTAAGTCGGAACTTTTATTTAAAATAGATATAAGAAGAGTGGTATGAGTGCCAATGAGACAACTCTCCATCCAAGTCACAATTTGTAAAAGTAAACAATTATAGGTCAAAGTACGGCCTTCAACACGGAGCATTGGCTCACACCGAACAACAAGCTATAAAGGGCCCCAAAAAATGACTAGTGTAAAACCATTCAAACAGGAACCAACGGTCTAATCTATATAAAAACGAGAAACAAGAAACATTTATGAACCACATCAACAAACGACAACCACTGAACATCAGGTTCCTGACTTAGGACAGGTGCAAACAAATGCAGCGGGTTTAAACGTTTTAATAGGCGCCAACCTTCACCCTACCTGAAATAATGGTGTAACATCAAAACATAGAAAGACACACTATAAAATATCAATTGAAATGGCTTAACTTAATCAAAAGACATATTAACAAAAAGAAGTGAACATGCACTGAACGAATAAATTTGATCTATGACACAATGTAAATACAAAATTAATAAAACAAGGGGGTTAGATGTAAAACAATATCAGAAAGACAACCATAACCTTGGACAAAATGCCGCCAAATAAAATAACGTACACAGGTAAATAAAAAAAATGTCTTGTAAGGTATACATGGAGTACGGAAATAATTTTTACAAAAGCATTGATGAATAATACTACTTGTATAGTTTATTGAATGGATTATTGATTTTGAAAAAATCTGCAGTTTGTTTCTTTAGATTAAAATAGGAATTTTTTTAGTGATGACCTTTGATCTTGATTTAAGGCATGGTGGCACCAGCTTTCATGTTTACGACACATCTTTTCAAAATGTACACGATTTAAGCTTTCCAATGAGCTATTATAATGCCATGAGGTCCGTAGGTAATTTAAATTTCTAAAATTGTCCTCTCCGCCGCTCCACTAATATATATGTATATAGTAACTTTATAATAAATATTTTCAAGTAATGAATAATTTCTTATCACCAGGGAAATTGATTGTTATCTTATAGGATACATTGTTTCCGTTGGACTATTTGTATTCCTATAGGACACAAGTTATTTTTTCCCTTTGGAATGTTTTCTAGAAAAAAAAATCCGGTAGGAATAATTTTAATCTCAAAGGATTATTTTAATCCTACAAGATATCATTTAATCCCTAAGGATTTATTTTCTCTATAGGAATGTTTAAAAAAAAAACGGAAGAATTTTTATTTCTCTTACAGGAACATTTTTAATCCTATGCGATTAATTTAACAAAGGTATCATGCTGGAGAAGAAAAAAAATCCTATAGCACTTTGATAATTTTTGTCCTTAGGGATATTATTGTCATGTAGGGAAAACAAATATCCCATATGATTTTTCGAAATCCTATAGGATTTTGTATGAACAATTTGTTCTGGTCATATATTACATGATTGTCCAATTACAGACATTGTCGGACTGTTTGGTTGACCTACCTAAACAAAAATGGTGGCCCAGTTGTGTACTGATAAAAAAGTGCTTATTTTATTAAAAAACTGTATTATTTAACAATGTTTTAACATGTTTTTTCAGAGGTAATGAATACTTTGGTAAAAACAGAAACTAACCATACACTGTACAAAAACACTGATTAACTAAACTACCTTCAAACACTACTGTTACAACATAATACTTCAACTGTCATTATATAGAGGACAGGCACTATGCACACACACATAAACTCTGACTTATTAAACTACATTCAAAAACTACAACATCATACTTTTGTTATCATTATACGGAGAACAGTCACTAATCATACACCGTACACACACACACACACTGATTTATTATATTTCAATCAAACTCTACAGCATAATATTTCAATTATCAGTATAAGAGGACATACATTAATAACACACTGTACACACAGACACACACATACACACACACACTGATTTATTTAACTACAAGCAACCACTGCAACACAATAATATCTATTTATCATTGTAGGAAGGTCTAACAGCATTACATTTGGCAGCTAGTGGTGGAGAGTTAGATATTACAAAATGGTTGATAGAAGAAAAAGGAATGGATCCCTTGGTTAAAACATCTCAGGTAACATTTGGCATTGTATACTAAGTTATATTTTTTTTATTGTTAATCGCTTAAAAAGTGTGTTAAATTACATTGCTTGTATAGATCTGTGTATAGTTGCGTCCATTCGTTTTTTCGTTTTTAGAAATCAAAAACGAAAAGCAAAAAACGAAGGTGTTTTCATTTTCCGTTTTTGATTTCTTGAACAAAAAAACGAAAAACAGAAGTGTTTTCGTTTTCAAGTTTGATATCACAAAACAAACACGAAAAGGGATATTTACATTCGGTTTCTGTATTAAGAGGATATGTCAGCAAGCACTGAGTTTTGAATAGAATTTAAAAATAAATACTGTAAAATTGGTGTTTAATGATGTGTTACACAAAATAATACGATATTGGTATATTTGTTTTCAAATTCAATGGTTTCCATGGCAACAAATTGTATTTCCTGAGATACTTGTCAAAAAACACCCAAAAAACGTTGTAATATATGGATCAAAATTAAGCAGGACATCAATAGTGTTAAAAAGTAATTTCTCAACCCTAAAATGTTATGTTATGTTATGGCAACTTGAAATAGTAGGAATTTAGAATTTTGAAACTGTTAAAAACCACATAACATTTAATTGCTTTTATCTAAAAATTCGGATAGCATTTGTATTGCAACTTATTGTATTCTTAATAATACAGGTACAAACATCAATTAAAAAACATAAAATAGGATAAGAATTCAAAAATATAAATTAGTGCTCCTATTAAACAAATCAGATTTTAACAATTTTTGAGCTCAATTTTTCAAGAAAATATTTTAAGGAACATATGATTCCACAAGTTATTCAAAAATAAACTATGTATTAGTAAGTCAAGACACAAGGCACACATTGGGGTCATAAACAAACAAAATTTAAAATAAAACGGTTGCTTAGCAACGCATATATTCCTTAGTAACAGAGTTCAAGTTCAAGTAACTAAGTACAGATACTTAAAAAAAAGAAATACTCTGTTGAGTATGATGACTAGTTTACCTGCTTTTTCTGAATCCGTTTATTTGTATAGTTTGTAGCCTACATATTATTATTTTTTAAAGTCAGTCTAATGTCTTCATTCCAAATGGAAGGTTGCTAAACAACAACAAAAGGGGCGCTTACAATATTGTTTTATGGCTCACAAAATAAGTGCATAAGTGCAAGATTTTTGTGCAATGTATCTAAAAAAATCTTTACAAGTGCTTGAAAATTAATAATATATTTTCTGGAACTTGCTATGACAATGCACTTTTCTCTCTAGCAACAGACAGAATCCTTGGCAACTGATTTTTTTCAAACATTATTCATATATCTCTTCCACAACCTCAGACCCCTTTTTTCATCCACAAATTAAATGAAAATTGAATTTGACTTTCAATAAATATGAGAATATATGACAGCACAGACGTGTACAAATTGTTTAATCTTTAGCAAAATATTGCACTGCCTAGCAACCTTGATTCTAAAAGCAAAGGTTAGTCACTGAGAGATTATGTCGCTACGGAAATTGAGTTGAGACAGCGAAAATAACTTTGATGTACTGTTAAATTCTGTTTTTTTCTTCAATTCGAAAATACAATAATTTTACTTCAAATCAGTCAAATAACCATCTTTAAATGATTACACTAGACTATCCAACTATCCATTTAACTCCTTGCATTTTCTACAAAACTTCAAAAACTGCAAATTAGCCTTAAATTGATATTAAAATATTAGGGACGATCAATACGTGGGGGTTGGGAGATTGCAGAAGGATTTTTTGCGGTTTGACTATTGATTTCATATGTTGCTATGAGTCAATTACCAATCTAATATTGTGTGATGCCTTATCACATTGGTATATTTTATCTATGTATTTTATCGTAGTGGCATAACGGGTGTTGAATGTGAAGCAGGATCTGCTTACCCTTTCCGGAGAAACTGAGATCACCCCCTGTTTTTGGTGGGGTTCATATTGCCAAGTCTTTTGTCTTTCTATGTTGTGTTTTGTATAATGTTGTTTGTCTTTTGGTCGTTTTTCGTTTTTTGCCATGGCATTGTCGCTTCATTTTCGACTTATGAGTTTGATTATCCCTTTTGTATCTTTTGCTTCTATTTTGCTACGCATGTTTATTTTTTGTTGCCGTGGCTTCGATGGGAACAGATTTATTTTCGATTTTGTACACAACAGTTTCCTGGATTTTGTGTTGCAGACTATTCGTTTTCTTTATGAATTCTGCAAGGTTAAATATTTTCAGCTCTTACTAGGCAAGGATATTCAATTTTAAAATCCTCCTGAACCCTCCCCAAAGAAAATGAAATGAGTGTCTTCTTAAAAACAGCTTTACCCCAAAAGATTTTTTGCTACAATAGATGCAAATTTTAAATATCTTTTTGGATAAAGCTATTGCTCATTCTTTATTTACCGCATTGAAAAATTGCCATTTATTGTCAACATGTTTGTAATGTTGTTTGTGACTTTTCTGCACTAAAGTGTCTAATAGTCTGTTGATATATTTATAAAATTAACATAGTTTTGGAAGACTTTAATAATTTCAGGGGCCAAATAATGGCTCTTATCATACCAACCCCTTTGCCGAATAGAGACAAAAAAGGCTCAACTGACTTTAGTGTAAGGTTGTCAAATCAATTTGAGTTTAACTAAACGAATTTGTTACAAGAATCAAATACAATATACAGCATATACCAATTTTCAAGTCTTTGGTTAGACCCGGCCGTGGTTTCGAACCCACAAACCTCCGCTCTCAAGTCGAACACGCTACCACGAGACCACCAAGGCGATAAGAGATGAAAAGAGACGAATGAATAAGACTCTAACGATCGATCTACACTTTCAACTTTGGGAAATAGGGAAATCAAAGATGATTACAATTGATGACTAGCGTCCATCAGCCAATATTACACGCACAAGCAGGACGATATTCTATGTTATATCAGAAGTCAGATGCGGATCCAGGAATTTGACAAAAGAGAGACAAACTAGACATCGTTAGGAGTGAAACAGTGATGTTAACAGTCTATGCATTAACCATATATGTAGTTCTTTGTTCCCCTCTAAATCCGCTTTTGGAAGTCTTTTGCTTGGGGTCCCTAGTAATGGATTTCTAGTTTTACAGTTTTTTTTGGAAACAGTCCAACATAATGTATAGGTAACCGGTCTGTGTAACACTAAACAATTCAAAATTTTAAAAAGTTTAGAAATTTTAGTATTTTTGATTTTTGGTTACCTGTAAAGTGCGAAACAGAATAAAACGGAACGAAACAAAACGAAACAAAACAAAACCAAACTAAACGAATTTGCCACAACGAAACGACATACGACGTATGAAGTAAGAATAAAAAGAACAAAACGAATTGAATCATATTTAATTAAAAAAAAAATATTTAAGCGTTTCCGATACTTTGTTCAGAACTATTTGGTTTACTCATTTAATCAAAAGATAACAGCGAATTTCGAATTTATTGGTCGTAATAAACAAAAGGAATTCTAGAATGGATAGTTTACTCCCGTTTTGCAATTGTGTTTGTTCTACACTTTTGCCGAAACTTCATTTGCTTGATGAAGCGCCCATCGTTTAGAAGAACAGTAAAACTGACCAAATCGCAGAAAGCCGAATAACGTGGTAATATCAAGTATGTAAATATTCGCTACTGTACATTAAGCAATACTCAGTCAACCAAAATGGTCCAATACACGTGTATTTCCTCAAATTTGTATTCAGATTTTTCTATTTTGCTGTTCGACTTCTCACTATCTGAGGGGCCTCGGTGGCCGAGTGGTCTAAATAGTCTAACTATTGTATCACTAGCCTGTCAACACTGAGGTTGTGAGTTCGAATCCCGCACACGACTACAATCTTCATTGACTAGGACTGTTAGTTTTCCTACCGAAGGTCATTGGTTCTCTCCGGGTACTCCGGCTTCCTCCAACAATAAAAACTGACCGCCACGAAATAGCACAAATAAAGGCTACAGTAGTATACCGCTGTTCGAAATTCATAAATCGATTGAGAAAAAAACAAATCCGGGTTACAAACTAAAACTGAGGGAAACACATCAAATATAAGAGGAGAAACACGACACAACAGAAACACAACATTAAAATGTAACACACACAGACACGAACTATAATATAACAATGGCCATTCAATAGTGTTGAAAGTGGCGTTAAACACCAATCATTCAATCAATCAATCTCACTATCTGTATCCATGTCGGCAGATAGAATCATTGAACGTACATTTTGAACGATCATCTTTAGTCTTTTACCGATTGCATGATGATTTTAAATTGCCATTTATTATTGATTTCAAGTCCAACTATTGGTATGGTAGGTGAAATACTGAATCAGTGGTGTCGCATGAGATGAACGTTGTGCTCGCTTCGAATGTGGGAGGTTGTGGATTGGATTCCAGTCGGATTAAATATTTTTTTCTTTTATTAATATCTGCTTTACACTGCTTCTCCGCTATACATGCATGTACCTTTAAGAGTTAGATCAAACATATGTATCTTGGAGCGAGGATAAGGTTAAGAGATAGACCATAAATATCCTATTCAGCGTGATAGTCCTGTGAGAGATAAACACATTCATACCACATAAACATATCACATAAACATTTTTTCAGCCTGAATATCCATGTAATAGTTGCTGCTGTGCATTAAGTGCCATTCTACCCATATGTAGATGTGGGAATTTTGATTAATGCCGTTCAATCAGTTTTAATTACATGAGCAACACCATGTTAATTATTTTAACGATTTAGTTGTAAGATAGTTTTGATAATGAAATATTTTTTGTGTTGTCATAAGTTTATGTATGCGATGTTTTGTCTCTCTTGGAGAGGCTTGCAGATGCTAATCCTGTTGCCCAATCCAATTTAATATATTTTGAAAAAGAAAAACACATTGTTGAACAAAAACGTTTTTTAATTGATATAATGTTGTAAACATTGTAAAAGTTCACATCACCGATAAACATATTAGTAAGTTGAA